CCCTGTGCTCCCATGGGAGCCGGCAGGAGCCCCGGGATGGAGAAGCCCCAGGTGCTGCTTTCCAAGGACCCAGAATGGGGGAAGCAGCTCCCGAGGTGCTTCCTCCTCCAGTCCCTCCTGCTGCCATCCCAAGGATCCGCACAGAGCCCAGCTCCTGTCCCGTGGGCTCTTCCCAGGGAGGACAGGAGGATCCATGGGTGCCTTGGGCACGGGGAGTGGTGAACAGCAGGAAACTCCCAGGTGGATCCACCTTGGGTTCCTCAGGGAGCTGGGGCAGGGTGCCCGAGCTCGCCAGGCCCCGGTGCCACCTTGTTCTCCTGGTGGGGTTTGCAGAGTTCCTGCTGGGCTGGGAGGAGCCGGGCTGTCCCGCACCCAGGGAATTCTCCACGGCTCCTCAGCAGCCAAATGCAGGCCTGGGGAAATCAAGAAAAGCCCCGAGACTCGGGAGGCCGGGGGATCCCGGGGCCAGCGGCTGGAATTGCCCCGGCCCCTCGAGGGGGAGTGCCAGGGGCCGGGGCAGTGGATGGCACCGTGTTGGAGCCAGGGGGATGGTGCCACCTCCTGGAGCCGCTCCAGAGCCCGTGTCCCCTTGTCCCCTTTCCTTCTGGGCTCCGTGTGGTGCTGGCATGGGCTGTGCGGCCCACGGTGGGCTGGGGCTGTGCTGAGTTTGGGGTGTCTGTACCACGGGGGTCTGGGGCTGTGCAGAGTTTGGGGTCTGTGCCATGGGGGTCTGGGGGCTGTGCTGATTTTGGGGTGTCTCTGTGCCATGGGGGTCTGGGGGCACTGCAGAGTTTTGGGTCTGTGCCATGGGGGTCTGGGGGCAGTGCAGAGTTTGGGGTGTCTCTGTGCCATGGGGGTCTGGGGCTGTGCTGAGTTTGGGGTGTCTGTGCCACGGGGGTCTGGGGCTGTGCTGAGTTTGGGGTCTCTGTGCCATGGGGGTCTGGGGGCACTGCAGAGTTTGGGGTCTGTGCCATGGGGGTCTGGGGGCACTGCAGAGTTTGGGGTGTCTCTGTGCCACGGAGGCAGTGCAGAGTTTGGGGTGTCTGTGCTGTGGGGGCTGTGAAGAGTTTGGGGTGTCTGTGCCATGGGGGTCTGGGGGCAGTGCAGAGTTTGGGGTGTCTCTGTGCCATGGGGGTCTGGGGCTGTGCAGAGTTTGGGGTCCCTGTGCTGTGGGGGCAGTGCAGAGTTTGGGGTGTCTGTGCCATGGGGGTCTGGGGGCAGTGCAGAGTTTGGGGTCCCCGTGCCATGGGGGGACCTTTCCCAGGAGCTGGGACTCCTGCCTGTCTGCACCGTCCCATCATGACCCCTCTCAGTGTGGGTTCTCCAGGTGCTGTTCCTGCTTCCCTGCAGGGGGATTTGGGAATTCCTGGAGCCCGTCCAGCGGGGTTGGGAGGTCCCAGGGGCCAGGGGGGCACTGCCCGGTGCTCCCCCTGCTCCCGGCCCGTGGGGCTGCCCTTCCCCACGGGCTCCGTGGGTGATGTGGGCCCAGGGGTCGGGGCTGGATCAGCCGGGGTGGGTGAGGGCTGGCAGCCCCGAGCCCGGGGCTGGATCAGCCGGGGTGGGTGAGGGCTGGCAGCCCCGAGCCCGGGGCTGGATCAGCCGGGGTGGGTGAAGGCTGGCAGCCCCGAGCCCGGGGCTGGATCAGCCGGGGTGGGTGAAGGCTGGCAGCCCCGAGCCCGGGGCTGGATCAGCCGGGGTGGGTGAGGGCTGGCAGCCCTGAGCCTGCTCCATGCCCCCCACAGTTCTGCCAGCCCAGCGGGTGGCAGCTCTTCCCCGAGAGGAACCCCCCCACCTTCTTCGTGGCCGTGCTGACCGACATCAACTCAGAGCGGCACTACTGCGCCTGCTTCACCTTCTGGGAGGCCGTGGAGAGCCCGCAGGTACCGGGGACACGGGGACACCGGGACACAGGGACACAGGGATGGGGCTGGCCGCGCTGATGGGATAGCACCCGGCTGCCTTTGGCACTGGCCGGGGGTTCCTGCCTTCCCTGTGCCAGAAGAATGCATGGATAGATGGCAAGGGTGGTCAGCAGTGCTGGTGGAGAAGCATTCAGTTGGGTTTTACTCTGACTAGGAGTTGTTGCCTTCCCAGTGCCACAGGAATCCATGGATAGATGGGAAGGGTGGTCAGCAGTGCTGCTGGAGAAGCATTCAGTTAGGTTTAGCTCTGGCCAGGCGTTCCTGCCTTCCCTGTGCCAGAAGAATCCATGGATAGATGGCAAGGGTGGTCAGCAGTGCTGCTGGAGAAGCACCCAGCTGCGTTTGACTCTGGCCAGGAGTTCCTGCCTTCCCTGTGCCAGAGGAATCCAGACCCTGGCACTGGGAGTTTGGGACAGGGAAAAGCATCCCTTAAGCCCCAGCCCAGGCTGGTTTGTGCCTCCCCAGCCCCAGAGCCAGGCCAGGAACGGCGAGGGCGAGGAGGAGGAGGAGGAGGCCTCGTCGCCCGCGCAGCCTGCGCAGCTGTTCGCTCCCAAGAGCCTGGTGCTGGTGTCGCGGCTGGACCACGCCGAGGTGTTCCGGGTGAGTGGGGGCTCAGGGAGCGGGGATGCTGCTCAGGGGAGAGGGCAGCTGTGCTGGGAGAGGCTTCCTGCCTGGGGAGGGGGAACACGCTGGCACAGCCCGCGGGAGCTGGCCCCGTCCTGCCCTTGGCACCCTTGGGTGCTGCTGATCCCGGGTGGCTGCGGGACGTGGAGCAGCTGCCAGCCCTGCTCCTAAAGCCCGTGAGGAACAGCCCGTTCCTGGGAGCACCGACTGTGCCCTGTCTGTGCCAGCTCTGCCGGCTCCAGGGGTGCTGCATTGTGTGCCTGGGGAGCCTTGGGAGGGCTGGGTACGGATTGTATCCGTGGGGAAGGGCTGGGAGTGTCCAGCCTGGAGAAGGGAAGGATCCAGGGAGAGCTTCCAGCTCATTCCAGGCCTTGAAGGGGCTCCAGGAGAGCTGCAGAGGGACTGGGAACAAGGATGGAGGGACAGGACCCAGGGAATGGCTCCCACTGCCAGAGGGCAGCCATGGATGGGAGATTGGGAATGAGGAATTCCTGGCTGGGCTGGGATTGCCAGAGCAGCTGGGGCTGCCCCTGGATCCCTGGAATGTCCAAGGCCAGGCTGGACACTGGGGCTGGAGCAGCCTGGGACAGTGGGAGGTGTCCCTGCCTTGTGTGGAGTGGGAATTCTCTGAAATATGGGATCTGTTTCCCTAAGCCTGGGTCAGCAGAGTGGGGACCTGCCAGGCACAAGCTGGGGCAACTCCAGGGGACAGGGTCACTTCACTTGTTCCCAGAGGCAGAGGTGTCCTGCCACCTGCTCCCCGGGAAAGAAACAGTTCCCAGCTCCTCATTGCAGTGCCCAGGAATCTGAGCTTCATCCTCCCTCGTTATTCCAGCGGGCAGGGCTTTATCCTGCTCTTCCCTCATTATTCCACTGTGCCAGAGTTTGCCTGGCCCTGCTCCCCAGATCCCAGTATTTGTGTTTTCCTTTTCCTCGATGGTTGGAAACAACACCCCGAGGGTGCCTGGAACACAAATTCCTCAAGTCCCTCATTCCCAGCTTGTCCTGAGGGCTGCCCTGTGCTGGTGCCCCCAGAGCTGGGACCACTGTTGCTTCTCAGCTGGAACAGGATGTTTTTGTGGGCAGTGACCACCCAGGGCTGACCAGAGTCCAGGTGTGCTGTCAAGGGCAGCACCAAATTTTGGGGAAGGACCCCCTGCCATGCCTTCCTTGGGGTTTGTGTGGGACTGGGGGTGCTGGGAGGCTGGAGCAGCCCAGCTGCCCTGGTCACCTCTCTCCTGGAGCTGTGGAAATCCCCTGGGCACTGCTCCCGTGGAGCTCTGGCCCTGGGGACACGTCTCCTGCTCTGGTGGGGTCAGTGCAGGGGTGGGGGCGCGCTCCTGGCTGGAGTATCCCATCCCTGTGGAGGAGGAAGACGTGGAGCTGGCATTGCCAGGGCGTGTTTGTGGCCGGGGACAACCCTGGGGGTGTCCCCAGCTCCCTGCACTGCTCAGCCGTGCTCTGCTCCCCTCTCCAGAACAGCCTGGGGCTGATCTACACCATCTACGTGGACGGGCTGAGCGTGTCCCTGGAGAACGTCATCGGGAACCTGCTGACCTGCACCATCCCCATCACGGGGGGAGCGCAGGTGGGTGTCCTGGTGTCCTGCTGCCCCGTCCCTGTCCCTGCTCTGGCCTCAGAGCCCAGCCCAGTCCTGCTCCCCGTGCCGGCGTGGGCCCCGTGGGCAGGCCTGGCTCCGTGCCCTGCCGCCTTCCCGAGTGCTTCCAAGCACAAATCCCACTCACACCCTCAGTTAGCCAAGGAGCTCCTGCCGCAGCTTCCGTGTCCTGGCTCCTGCTGCCCTGGCAGGGAGCACCAGGGGCTTGACGTAGGTGCTGGGCAACCCAAGCAAACGTTCCCTGGTCCGTGGGCACTCCTGGGGTGTGGCTGTGTGCTCAGCCCTGCGGGATCCCCCTGTGGAGAGCTGCTCCAGAGCCAAGTGGTCACGGGCCATCTGTGAGAGCAGGGCTGGGACAGCTGCGGGGACACGGGCCAGCAGGGCCAGGACAGCAGCCTGGAGCTCTTCTTGGGGCACTGGCCTGGTGCTGTGCCCGTGTCCGTGCTGGGTCCTGTGCCCATGGCTGTGCCAGGTCCTGTGCCTGTGTCCGTGCCAGGTCCTGTGCCTGTGCTGGGGGCCTGAGGAGCAGCAGCTTCTCCTGCAGCTGAGGCCACCAACGCCCCTGCTGTCCCCTCAGAGCCATGTGTCCCCCCAGCCTGCCCTGCTCTGGCCCAGCTGGGCTCAGCACACGGAGCTGGGAGGATCCCTGGGGATGGCAGAGAGGGAGAGCCCAGCTGGAGCCCCTGGCAGGAGGCTGGGGACAGCAGCGTTGTGCCCTGGGGCTCTCGTGTCCTGCTGGCCCCTGGGATGTCCCTGTGGCTGAGTGCTTGTGTCCCCATGTGCCTTCCCTCGGCTGAGCCCCCCTTCCCCCAGCACAGAGTGCCAGGAATGATCCCACAGCCAGGCTGATGCAGTGCAGCAGCCTTGGCCAGGCTGGGACAGCAGCGCGGGGCACTGGGACAG